GTGTCCTGTGATCCGGGGTAAAGGATGCCTTGAGTCAGCCAGTCCGCTGGCCCCAAAGTCGTCGACTGGCGACGCGGTCATCGTCTCTCCAGGGATGTCAGGACCTGGATCTCGAGCTGAAGGCTCGTCACTTCTGTGATTACCGGATACGCCTTGGACCCTCGAGCTGAAGGCTCGTTCCGCGTGAGTATCTCGAGCCGAAGGCTCGTCACATCCGCGACTGTCCGACTGGGGGGCGGATAGCTGACGAAAGTCTTCGGGGTTACAGGAGTGCCCAGGGAGTTGACTGGTCGTTGCATCGCCGTCGGCGCCGAACAGTCCGCTTGGGGCGCCCCAAGCTGCAGGATCGTTCGACGCTGCCGTCTCGCTGGGAACTCCTCGGGCTGAAGGCCCATTCTCTGCGTGCGAAGTGCTGTCAACTCCAGGAAGGGCTGTGGGCGCGCGGCGACTCCCGTCGCCGCTCGCGGCCACATGCCCAGCGGCACTGGACGCGTCCAAAGGAGGGTGGTCGGCGGAGTGTGGGCGTGAGCCAATGGGATGTGGATCGGGGACGTGGGCGGAATGCGCTCGGTCCGGCTCGTCCTTTCTGGAGCTGTGAGATATGCCTGTGGAGACTCCACCATCCGCTCGGGGAGGCGTCGTGGACCTCTTGTCGGGAGGAAACTGGTCTCCAACCACGGGCGCTCCCTCAGCAGCACTCCCACCTGTCGCCACAATACTGTTGCCATGGGGGGAGCAATTGAGAGTGAGGTGGTGGCCGACGGCCCCAGCGACTGGCAATGTGATAGCTTGAGCTCGTGCCGCCACAGGTTGAGCCCCAACCGCTTGAGCATCAACAGATAGCGCCCTCGAGATACTGTTGTCAGGGGAGGAGCGATGGGATGCGAGGTGGTGGCCGACAGCCCCGGCGACTGGCAATGTGATAGCTTGAGCTCGCGCCACACGCTGATAGGAAGGAGGAGCTGTACCTCGACTGTCCAACTGGGGGGCGGGTGGTTGACGAAAGTCCTCGGGGTTACAGGAGTGTCCAGGGAGTTGACAGGTCGTTGCATCGCCGTCGGCGCCGAACAGTCCGCTTGGGGCGCCCCACGCTGCAGGATCGCTCAGAGCTGCTGTCTCGCTGGGAGCTCCTCGGGCTGAAGACCCATTCTCTACGCGCGCGATGTTGTCAACTCCAGGAAGGGCGGCGGGCGCGCTGCGACTCCCGTCGCCGCTCGTGGCCACGTGCCCAGTGGCGCCCCCGACAACCATTGGTGCCGCCTCCGACTCTCGAGGTGAAGGCTCTTCACCTCTGCGGTTGCTCGATGTGTCAGTCTCTGGTTCTCGAGCTGAAGGCTCGTCCTTTCTGAAGCTGTGAGATATGCCTATCGAGACTCCCCCATCCGCTCGGGGAGGCGTCGTGGACCTCTTGTCGGGAGGAAACTGGTCTCCAACCACGGGCGCTCCCTCAGCAGCACTCCCACCTGTCGCTACAATACTGTTGCCATGAGGGGGGGCAATGGCGCGGCAATGGGGTATGAGGTGGTGGCTGACGGCCCCGGCGACTGGCAAAGTGATAGCTTGAGCTCGTGCCGCCACAGGTTGAACCCCAACCGCTCGACGCTGATCGGAAAGAGGAGCTGTAGGAACGCCTGTCTGCCTGTCTCTGATGCACGAAACACCGCCCCTTCCAGGATGCACGTCCGCAACGTCCCTGGACCACTGAGCTCTCGACCCCATCCCAACGCCCTGGACCCCAGAGCTCTCGACCCCATCGCCGCGTCCAGGACCCCTGAGCCTGCCAGGTGCGCGGCAGCTAACGGCTGCACCGGCAGCGGAAGAAACTACAGGGAAGGACGTGCCGTCGTCTGAAGTGACTCCAGGTTGGCAGCTAACGGCTGCACCGGCGGTGGAAGAAACTCCAGGGAAGCACGCGCCGTCGTATCTCCCAGGACCCACAACCGAAGTGTCATCGAGTCCTTGAGCTCTCGACCCCATCCCAACACCCAGGACCCCGGAGCTCTCGACCCCATCTCTGAGTCCAGGAGCCAGGAGACCGCCAGGTGTGCGCCCGGCGGGGACTCCTTCGCCGCCATCCACAAGGGACAATCCAGGTTGGCAGCAAACGGCTGCATCCACATCCGCCGGTGGGGCGCTGCTCCTGCGGCTGCTGCTGCGGCTATTGCCGCTGCTGCTGCTGCCCTGCTGCTGCGGCTGCTGCTGCTGACTTGCTGCTGCGGCTGCTGCGGCTGCTGCAGCCCTGCTGCAGCTGCTGCCGCTGCCCGGCTGCTGCGGCTGCTCGCCGAGGGCCGCGGCGACGGCCACCGCGGCCACGGCGCCGCAGCCGGCCGCCCCGGCGGCGAGGCCGGCGGCACGGGCCAGGGCCGCCACGGCTTCCCAGAGGCCAGCGGCGGCGGCGGCCTCGCCGGCGGCGGCGGCGGCGCAGCAGGCGGCCGCCGCGGCCGCCTGAGGGGGAGCTGCGGCCGCAGCGGGGGGGGCCCAGCAGCGGCGGCCGCGGCCGCGGCGGCACCGGCCGCGCCGCCAGCAGCTCCAGCCGCGCCAGCAGCCGCGGCGCCGCTAGCTGCGGAGGCGCCGGCGGCGCCTGCGGCGCCGCGGCGCCGGCGGTTCCAGCGGTGCCCGCGGCGCCTGCGGCGCTCCCGGCGCCAGCGGCGCCCCGGCGGCGGCGGGCGCCAGCGGCGCGCGCGGCGCAGGAGGCGCAGGCAGCCCCAGCGGCGCCAGCGGCGCCCGCGGCGCGCCCCGCGGCCGGGCCGGCGGGCGGCCGCAGGCCGCCGCGGCGCCGTCAGCCCGCGACAGCCGCGGGGGCGGCAGCGCCGGCGGCGCCAGCCGCAGCAGGCAGGCCAGGGGGGGCGCCGCAAGCGGCAGGCCCGGCGGGCCGCAGGCGAGCCAGGGCGGCAGCGGCGGCGGCGCGGCAGGCAGCCTCGCGCCGCTGCCGCCGCCGCCGCGCCGACGGCGACACCATGGCGGGGCGAGGCGGGAGCGCGGAGGGGAGGCCCCGTCCGCGCTCCCGCAGGAGGGGGGGCCGGGGGCCAGGGGCAGGCCCCCCGCCGCGGCCCGGCAAGCCGGCTCGGCACCTCGAGCCAGTGCGGCTGGGGGCACTTTTTTTTTACAGCCGCAGGCGGAAGCGCCAGCGGCGGAAGGTCGCGAACGGGCCGCGGACGCGACTTAATTACCTAACGCGCGCAGGGCCGCGGATCAGGCGGCTCACGACAGCGTCCAGGGGGGGCGAAGCCGATGCAATCCAGGTGCCATGACAGCCCCTGAACGGGCACGCAGGTGCGTCCAACAGGCCCGAGGTAGGCACCGAGACGACCTAGCGCAGCCAAAATGGCGCGATAACGTTCCAACGTCCAGGTGCGGACAAGGGAACGACCCGAGGACGTCAGCCCCAGCCTCTCGGGTAGAACAGACGACGGGGTGGTAAGTCCAACGAGGATCCCGACGGCGGCAGCGAGCCGCGGCGCCAGAACGACATCAAGGTGTATCCATGTTCCGAGAAGACTACCACACCGAGATGTTTCGGCCCAGACCCAGCGGGTGGAAGGGCACCTGACGCACGCTACCCGCCGAAACGCGGCGTGTGCACTCCACAGTGTCACAGTGCAGTCCAAAGAGACGGAGAGCACAGGCGGAACGAGACCGTGTATACCCAGGCAAGTCCCGCAAAGCCACTGATCCAGGGTCGCGGTAGGAAGCCGTTCAGCAATGGGAGTCCAGAGGGCACCGAACCCTGGAGCCTGAAGGGTACCACAGGCTGACTGGGAACAAGGACCAACGGAAAAAGCTGACGGCGAGCCAGTCGCAACGCAAGAAGCGCATCCAGGGTGTGGAGCATGAAGACAAGAAAAAACATCCACAACTGAGATGCGACAGCCCAGATCCGACGAGTGGCAGGGCGTAGAAGAGCACGACACACGGCAGACCCCGAGGAGTATGCACATCGAAGGTGGCCCAGCGATACCCAGACGAGTCGTCTAGCACAGAGGGACGAGGACGCCTTGTACCCGAGACGTGTCCCTCAGAGCCAATGGATCCAGGGTGACGGCGGAAGGCCGTGCTTCTTGTTTGGAAAGTTCCCGAGGACGACGACCCAAGCCTGACGGGTAGCACAGACGAAAGGAGACGTAAGTCCAGCGGGGATCCCGACGGCGGCAACGCGCCGCGACGCCGAAACGGCATCAAAGTATGAAAATGTTGCCAAGAAACTGCCACACCGAGATGTTTCAGCCCAGACCCAGCGGGTGGGAGGGCGCCTGATGCACGCTACACGCTCGAAACGCGGCGCGTGCGCATCACAGTGTCTCAGTGCTGTCCAGAACGAGACGGAGAGCACACGCGGGACGAGACCGCGTATACCCAGGCAAGTCCGTCAAAGCCACTGATCCAGGGTCACGGCGGAAAGCCGTCCAGCATTGAGTTCCCGAGGGCACCGTTCCAGGGAGCCTGACGGGTACCACAGACTGACTGGGGACGAGGTCCAGCGGAAAAAGGTGACGGCGAACCAGGTCGCGACGCAAGAAAGCGCATCCAGGGTGTGGAGCACGATGACCAAAGTACCTTCCACAACTGAGATGCGACAGCCCAGATCCGACGATTGGAAGGGCGTCGAAATGCACGATACACGGCAGACCCCGAGGAGCATGCAAAACTAAGGTGTCTCAGCGCTACCCGACCGAGTCGTCTAGCACCAGAGGGACGAGAGCGCGTTATACCCAAGACGCGTCCCCCAGAGCCACTTGGATCCAGGGTGACGGCGGAAGGCCGTGCTGCTTGTTTACTCAGTGCTGTCCAGAACGAGTCGGAGAGCACACGCGGGACGAGACCGCGTATACCCAGGCAAGTCCGTCAAAGCCACCGATCCAGGGTCACGGCGGAAGGCCGTCCAGCATTGAGAGTTCCCGAGGACAACGATCCAGGGAGCCTGACGGGTACCACAGACTGACTGGGGAGAAAGGCTGGGGACACGCGAAGCGTCAAGATCTTGAATTATTCCTGCCCGAGTCCTGCACGTACTGTACGGGCTGGTCGCGGTCCACGACCAAGTTATCGTGGAGCGTCACCTCAAAAACAAGGGCGCTTGGCGATGGCGCGACGCACAAGCGGGAGGCGGCGGAAGACGAGTGGGACGGTGAGGAAGAGGACTTGGACCTCGAATCGAGCAAGGAGCGCGCCCTGACGATCGGAACTTGGCCAAAAGGACGTGGGTCAAGAACGTGAGTCTTTTGGCTGAGGGGCAGCCTCATGGAAATGTCCAAAACGATGAAGGTTACGAAATTGAGCAGACACGAAGAGCATGAGGGTACCCCTCCAAGGCTAATGCTGTTTTTGACCCTCGTGCCAGCTTTACTCCTGTCGGCGGACTGCCCCCGAGCAGACAAACTAGCGAGCAGGAGAACTACAAGTACTGCTGTGTGTGACCGCTGCGAAAAGAACAGGCTGGCACTGACGAAAAAAAGGGTGACTTTGAGAATGCTGAAGGGCGGGGAGTGGTCGGGATGACGGGGACGATCAGGAGAAAGGAGAAGAAGAAGGACCAGCAAATTGGATGAAAACAAAAACATTAAACAAACCAGCTTTCGGAGGTTAAGACGAAGATGGTTCCTCTGCATCGCCGCCCCCCTCCCCCAGAACCTCTCGATCCCCCCACCCCTTCCAGTCTCGACTCGAGAGCTCTGCTCAAAGCGAGCCCAGACGCTAAGCGCCCCGCATCCGTTCTTGCCTCGCGAAACCAGACACGGCCACCCCCCTGGGCCGTGACAGACTGGCGGCACATCCCTTCAGTCCCGCGCGCGCGCGCGCCATGGTTCCCAAGGGCTCCCTACACCACGGCACCACGGCAGCCCGATCCCCTGCACCACGGCAGCCCGATCCACCAGGCAAGGGCCGCTGAAAGGCTACCCTACCAGACAGCAACCTGTGCCGAAAGGAAGCCAGCGTCGCCACAATCCAGAGCAGCGGTGGCGTCAACAGGACAGCCGCTGCATACAACGAACTGGCTAACTAGCACCGCACCGATCTCGATACCATCTACCAACAACACCGCTCCGTTCAACGAAGGCTCAGGGGCGAGCCAATGAGATCGTGCGGCGGAAAAAGATCAGCTACACCATGCTGCATTACTCCATCACGCGACCAGGGACCACAGTCGACGCCGAAGCCCACCAAGTAACGGCAAGGCCCCTTTTCATCAGACTGGATGCAAAGAACTGACAAGTCCCCGTAACCACCGTACAGGGGAACGAGGGCGACGGGACGTCGTACACCAGTCGCATCTCACTCCACATGCTAGATGAAACCGATCGTCTGCTGCAAGAAATCCGAACGCAATCAGTTCCGGGACCTATCAACATCGGTCACCGAGGACGCGAAATCCTCATCCAACTCCGCGTCGTACGGCCAGGGCTGCCAAGCCCACGCCTCAACACGTTCAAAGGAGCATTTACACGCTCGGACGGGACGAGGAACAATGCCTCCCAAATGTCGTACAAGTCACTCTCGACCAAGCCGACGACGTAGTCTAGATCCGCGCCGCGATCTGCGAGGCTGGCGCTATTGCAATCACACCCACGCCCGAAGAACTGTTCACAACACAGTTGTCAAGCGCGGCAACCATCAACGGAAACAGCTTCCCAGGCGGACCAGGTACGGCGCAGCCAAAAGCGAAGGAACACCATAAAGCTGTCAAACCGCACCCCCGCACCCCCACCCCCCCAAAAAATGAAGAAAGAAGACAGCGAGAGTCGAATGCCCCCAAACAGCATTTGTTGAGCAAAGGTGGTTCCTCAAGAGTGTGCGCCTGCGCCTTCGGCGTCGTCGTCGAGATGTTCGTCATCGTCGTGGTCCACCTCCTCATCCTCCTCCTCCTCCTCCTCCGCCTCGTCGACGTCGCTTTCCTTCTCGCCCTCACCCTCCCCCCTTCCAACTACACCTCCTCCTCCTCCTCCTCCATTCCTTCTCCTTATAAACAATCTCTCCCTGTCGCACCCCAAAGCCAGTTTTTAGGGCGGGCCGGGCGCTTCGCCTGAGAGTTCCTCACCATTTATGACTCTGAAGCTTAGAAACTGGCAACCGTTTCACAGATGGAGGGCGGCTCCTTTTCAAAATGTGGCTCGCGCCTTAGCGCCGCGCACATTCGTTTCAAAAAGATACAAGAGCTTCACGGATTGAGGGCGGGTCGCTTTCAAAATGCGGCTCTCGCCTTAGTGCCGCGCACATTCGTTACCAACATTTGCAAGAGCTTCACAGCTGGAGGGCGGGTCGTTTTTAAAAATGTGGCTCTCGGCTTAGCGCCGCGCACATTCGTTTCAAACAGTTGCAATCACGGATTCCCATGATCAACGTAGCAGAAATGGTGCTTTGGAAAGATTCAAATTTATGAGCAGGTGCAACAGTTATGTTGGTTAGCGGTGTTGAAATCCCGAACAACGGCGCTCTGGCACGAGTCCGGATCGTCAAGACGCAGCAGTCAGGTTGATACGTGGCGTTGAAATCCCTAGACAAGGTTTCAGGATCTTCAAACGGTTGTCTTCCAACGAGGCAGTTCCCGCAATGGAAATGAACCGTTGTAGGGGCCTATGAAGAGGGAGCTTGGAGGGAGGGTTAATTCCGACATCTTTGATGACTCTTGGGTTTACACTAGTCCTCATCCTCCTCATCATCATCATCCCTCTCCTCTCTTCCTCCCGCTCCTCCTCGTCCTCCGCGTCATCCTCGTCATCCTGGTTCTCCTGGTCCTCCTTCCCCGCCTCATCATCCTCCTCCTCCTCCTCATCCTCCTCATCCTCCTCCTCCTCATCCTCCTCCTGCTCCTTCTATACCTCCTCGTTTCACTCCTCCTTCGCCCCCAAACGCTCGATGCATGTCCACGAATTGCTCAAGCATGGTTGCCTCTTGAGAGACCGCTTGGAATTCACCAAGGAATCGCGCTAGCGCGTCAACGCTAGCTACCTCCTCCGTCGGGGCTGAGACCCCCTTCCAGAGCACGAGTCGACAACAGACGAAGAATCAAACGGTTCGTTTAGGTCTGACCCCTCCTCCCCCTCTCCCTTCCCTCTAGGAGCTCAAAGTTTCGAGGATGTCTCAAGCGAAACGGGCCAGACCACCTCGCGCTCAGCATCTCGGAGCTCCGACTTGTGAGAATGTCTCAAATGAAACGGACAAGACCTCGGCAAACGAGAACTGCGCACCACCACCAGAAATACCACCAGAGACACAACCAAAAAAGCAACGAACAAAAACAATTATCCCGGCAAAGCAACCTAACAGCGATGTGTAGAAGCATATCTGAAAGCATTCCCCTTAAGATTCAGATGAAAATCCAGTTGTCGAATTCTGCTGTTCTCGCAGTCGTAGTCGCATTCGCGATGACAGTCGCAGCGGCAACGGCAGTCGCAGTCACAGCCTCAGCCTCAGCCTGCCTCAGCCTCAGCCTCAGCCTGCCTCAGCCTCAGCCTGCCTCAGCCTCAGCCTCAGCCTGCTTCAGCCTCAGCCTCAGTCTGCCTTCAGCCTCGGCCTCAGCCTCAGCCTGCCTCAGCCTCAGCCTGCATCAGCCTCAGCCTCAGCCTCAGCCTGCCTCAGCATCAGCCTGCTTCAGCCTCAGCCTCAGCCTGCCTCAGCCTCAGCCTCAGTCTGCTTCAGCCTCAGCCTCAGTCTGCCTTCAGCCTCGGCCTCAGCCTCAGCCTGCCTCAGCCTCAGCCTGCCTCGGCCGCAGCATCAGCCTGCCTCAGCATTTAAAATGTGGCCCGGGAATGGAGTTCTGGGAACTCGAAGAGCACGAAGTGGCCTACAGTTGGCTCCGGGCATCAAAATGTGGCCCGGGAATGGAGTTCTGGGAAGCGAAGAGCACGAAGAGCTCCGGGCATTTGCGAGGATGTCCCAAGCGATTTCGGCTTCGGCGGCAGCCTCGGCGGCAGCCTGTCCGGGTCCCGCCCAGACCTCCCTGAGGAGTCATGATGCTCTCTTTTGAGACCACTAGAAACCTATCAGCAAGAGCTGTTAGGTAATTACCCAGGGACGTACACAACCCTTTGTACACATGGGACGACTATACATCGGACCGCTCAATACACAAGCAAGCACTGAAGGATCCGCCGTGCCCTTGAACCATTCGCCAAAGAACGCCCGGCCAGAGTCACATGCTCACATTTGCGGCGCCGCTCTTACGAGTCAGATAGTTGGCAGGAAGGCGGCCACGAGGGAGGGTGGAAACACAATGAGAAGAGACGATTGGAGTCATAATTCGTGGGAGCAGGGCCGCTGGACCCCCAAAGGTCGCAACCCAGACCACCAGGGAACGGCGAGGTCTCGCGGTGATCTGCGTAAGACGCACCTCCGCTGGGCCTCCCGGGAGCCCACACAAGTGGCAACTGTTTCGCAGATCGCAGCCCACCCGGGGACGGCGAGGTCTCATGGTGATCTGCGTAAGACGCACCTCCGCTGGGCCTCCCGGGAGCCAAAAAAGTAGCGACGGCTGCGCAAAAGCCAACCCCCCAGGGGACGGCGAGGTCTCATGGTGATCTGCGTAAGACGCACCTCCGCTGGGCCTCCCAGGAGCCCCCGAAAGTGGCGACAGTTTCGCAGATAGCAGCCCCCCAGGGGACGGCGAGGTCTCATGGTGATACGCGCAAGACGCACCTCCGCTGGGCCTCCCGGGAGCCCAGGAAAGTGGCGACAGATTCGAAGACTGCTGCCCCCCAGAGGACGGCGAGGTCTCGCGGTGATCTGCGTAAGACGCACCTCTGCTGGGCCTCCCAAAGCCCACGAAAGTGGCGACAGTTCGGCAGATCGCAGCCCCCCAGTGGACTGCGTGGTCTCGCATTGATCCGCGTAAGACGCACCTCCGCTGGGGCTCCCAGGACTTCCCGAACATTGGCTACAGATTCTCAGATCGCAGCCCCTCAGAAGACGGCGAGGTCTCGTGGTGACCTTCGTAATACGCACCTCCGCTGGGCCTCCCAGGAGCCCGCGAAAGTGGTGGCAGTCTCGAAGATAGCAGCCCCCCAGGGGACGGCGAGGCCTCGTATTGATCTGCGTAAGACGCACCTCCGCTGGACCTCCCGGGAGCTCGCAAAAATGGCAACAGTTTCGCATATCGCAGCCCCCCAGGGGACGGCGAGGTCTCGCGGTGATCTGCGTAAGACGCACCTCTGCTAGGCCTCCCAGAAGCCCACAAAAGTGGCGACAGCTGCGCAAATCGCAGCCCCCGAGGGGACGGCGACGCCCCATGGTGATCTGCGTAAGACGCACCTCCGCTGGGGCTCCCAGGACTCCCCCGATAATTGGCGACAGTTTCGCAGATCGA